AAGCAAGTTGACTGGTTCAGAATCAACTATTTAATTTCTGGAAATAAAAAATAAAAAATCTAAAAAATCAGGTCAGCTTAACCTGAAATCTGGAAAATCAGTTAGATAAGATAAAAACTGAATAACCAACAGAATCTGAGAAAATAATGACAGATGTATCAAGCCTTGGGCCCTTTTCAGTAAACAGTGTATACACAATTAGAGGTAATTCAGCTTTTTTCACAGTTTGGAATAAACATTCCCTTAAAGAGAACATTTCAGAAAACATTCAAAAAAATCTCTTTACACAATTACATGATGAATTGTACTCCATTCAAGTGAACAGGCTGCTGAATTAGGCTGTGCAGGCTGTGTTTTCAACGCAGTCCAATTGTAGAACAGGTCCAATGTGTAACAAGTGTCTCAATGCAACCTCTGCCTCAGCCCCTCTGCACACACCAGCATGTACATTACTAAAAGCTCATTATTATCTAATTACGTTACATTTTCCACCACATGAAATGTATTGCAGGATTGAGACATTTAAATGAATTACTAGGAAAAAAGACATTTGTTAAATGCACACTGATGTTTGTGAGTTTGTTAAATACACGGCTGTCTAAGGAAAGCGGCAATAATAATCCTTTCAAATAAAAGCAGAAGATCTTGATCAGAGACACGAGTCTGTTTACAAGCTGACTGCACAACATGACAAGTTCATAATGCTGTGTAAATCTGTCCTGTTACTTCAATCAGTCTGCCACTAGAATTTGTACTTTTTTTTCCCCAATAGATTATAATTAATTTAATATGACATCCTGAAGCTCAAAAGCGGGCAAAGGGCCTTCACTGAACACATGAACAGGTTCTGCACTTTTATCCAAGACTCTTCCATCTGTGTTTTTCACGTTCAGCTTGTGTTTGCTTCGGTTGAAGAACTCTTTTGCTTTTTAGTTGAGTTCAAAATCAGCTCAGTGAGGGCTATTGTCCTCATTCATAAACAGACGTGTCTGTGATGTTTACTGTTTTTATGATGTTTATGGTTTATCCTGGTGTCTCTGTCATATTTAACTGCTGTGTTTCTCTTCTGCTTTTTAGGTGAACATGTGGTTAATAACAATAACCTGACTCACAGGACATCACCTTGTCTTCTCTTGCACACATGAGCCCCGCTGCTTTCCCTGAAGGCTTGGATCTTTCATGCATGTTTTACTAATCTGTTATCTTAACTCCGTTACGTCTCAGGATGCATTTCTTATGTTTAATTCTCTGTTTACACCATTTCTTTCTTTTTGTTTGTGCAATATGGCTGTATTTAGTTTTGTGGTGTTTTGTTGTTGTGCTCTCTCTCTCTCTCTCTCTCTTTCTCTCTCGCTCTCTCGCTCACTCACTCTTTCTCTCTCTCTCTCTCTCTCTCTCTCTCTCTCTCTCTTTCTCTCTCGCTCTCTCGCTC